CATGTCAATACTATTATAGAATCTATAAATGCAATATTTTTTGAGGATATATTTCCATACAAAATAGGCAAGTCTAATTTATTGAAAAGGAGATTACATGATGATGTATCTGAGGTTAATGACGAACCTAGAGAACATGATGATGGTTCATCCTCGTCTAGAGTTCAAGAAGAAAAAGAACTTAAACCTAGAAGGAGTAAAAGGACAAAAATTCGAAAGGACTTTGGGCCTGATTTTGTGACCTTATTAACTGGGACAGAACCTCAATCATTCAAGGAGGCCATGTCCACTCCTGAAGCTCCATTTTGGAAGGATGCAGTTAATAGTGAGATAGATTCCATTATGCAAAATCATACATGGGAATTAGTCGATTTGCCCCTTGGCAATAAGTCAATTGCGTACAAATGGATCTTTAAGAAGAAATTAAAACCTGATGGTACAATTGACAAATATAAGGCTCGTTTGGTAGCTAAAGGATACCGTCAAAAATATGGTTTGGATTTCTTTGATACATACTCGCTTGTAATGAGAATTACATCAATAAGACTGTTGATTGCTATAGCTGCCCTCCATAACATGGAAATACATCAAATGGATGTAAAGACTGCGTTCTTAAATGGAGACTTAGATGAGGAAATATATATGGAACAACCCGAGGGGTTTGTGGTTTCAAGAACACAAAGTTTGTAAACTTGTGAAATCACTATATGGGCTTAAACAAGCTCCAAAGCAATGGCATGAAAATTTTGACCATATTATGATCACACACGATTTTAAGATAAATGAGTGTGATAAGTGTGTCTACACAAAAACTCAAAATAATGCTTGCATTATGTTGTGTTTATATGTAGATGATATGCTTAGAATGGGAACTAACAAAGAGATAATAAATTGGACCAAGAAGATATTGAAATCAAGTTTCGATATGAAAGATCTTGGATTAGCTGATGTGATTCTTGGTGTAAAAATAAAAGGAAACCAAGAAGGATATATTTTTACACAGTCCCATTATATAGAAGCTACACTTAGAAACTATGGTCATTTGGAAAGTAAAGATGCAATTACTCATTTTGATACCAATAGCAAACTTAAGAAGAATAGAGGAGATGCTATATCTCAACGTGAATACTCACAAGTTATTGGAAGCCTTATGTACATAATGAACTGCACAAGGTCTGATATAGCATACTCATTGAGTAGATTGAGTAGATATACATGCAATCCTGGGCATGATCATTGGGAAGCTTTAATTCGAGTATTGAGATACTTTAAGCATACAATGAATTATGGATTGCACTATACAAGGTATCCTCCTGTGCTTGAAGGATTTACTGATGCAAATTGGATATCGGATAGTACTGATACAAAATCTACAAGTGGATATGTATTTACTTTAGGAGGAGCAGCAATATCTTGGAAATCTTCTAAACAAACATGCATAGCCTGATCAACTATGGAATCGGAATTTATCGCTATCGATATGTCTAGAGGAGAAGCTAAGTGGCTAAGAGATTTTTTGGAAGATGTTCCCATATGGCCTAAACCTGTAACGGCAATATGTATACACTGTGATAGTTTAGATGCACAATATCGAGCTAAAAATAGTGTATACAATGAGAAGTCTAGCAAAATTAGACGAAGGCATAATACTATAAAGCAATGGCTCTCTAGTGGTGTAATTTCTATTGACTATGTTAAGTCAAAAGATAATATTGCGGATCCGCTTACTAAAGGTTTGTCTAGATAGCAAGTTAAGCATACATCAAGAGGAATGGGTTTAAAGCCAATAAAGTACAATGAAACTGCCAAACGGAAACCTAACCTAGTTAATTGGAGACCCCATAGTTTAGGTTCAATAGGCAAACTGATTTGGCTAGATTCAAGAAGAAACACACTTACATACCCATTCCTATGATGGAAAAAGTGTGATGACTGCTGATGGTGTAGGATACATTAGTTTAATGATATTGATACTTGTAAATTAGGTGGAATAGTAGCAGCTTATTCTTAATCAATATCACCTATATGAAAGTAAATGTGGGGTTGCATCTCTAAAGCTCTCATGAATCCAGGATTTGTTCAGGACCAAAATGAACACAAACGTATGAATTTGCAATGTGTTGGTGTGACATATGTTTTGCTTATTGTCTTGGTTTACTGCCGAGATGAACAATTCAAGATTTTATATTCACTGCGTCATCTAGTAAATCCGATAAGTATATACTAAGGTAAGTTCAAGTCTAAAAGACACCTCTCCTGATGTGTGTCACATCTATTGTTTACTATCACTTTCACCTTACCCTAGGACCTAATAGTTGACTCAAAATGTGGGGTATTGATGGAGTTTTGAGCTCCTATTGTCCCACATCAGGAAACAAAAATTTGTCAAATGCCTTTATATAGGTCAAGTCCTTTTTATTAGTGATTAGGTGTTGGACCACTTGGAATGAGGATTGAGGTTTGGCCACTAATTGTGTAAATTAGGCTTGATGATTATACTATAATATTAATTAATCAAGACAAGGGCCTTGGGCCTTGGGGCACTTAGGGCCAAGGAATTAAAATTAATCTGATCAATTAGTTTTAATTTTGAATTAAGTTTTTAATTAAATTAATTAAAAACATTTTGATTAATAGACATAACTCTTTGGAAAAAGTTGTATAGCTTCAGATACATCCAAAAAGTGTTTGAAGAGATATGAAAGAGCCTATATAACTGGAGTCCTAAGTTCCATAAAAAATCATCTTTTCTTCCTCCTTGTCTTCGTACAAAGTTTCTAGAGAATAAACACACAAAGCAATTCGCTAGAGTTCTATAATCCAGTGCGGGTTGTAGAATTAGGTAGTTGTATCCTAGTCGAGCAGACGTTGTAAAACCATAAGCACACGAGTGGGACGTAAATACTGTTCGAAGGACATAGCGTTTGCGTTAGCCTCTACCTTCAATTCATTCAAGTTAATATCATTTTAATTTTTTGTAATTATTGTGTAATTGCATTCTATATTGCAAGTATTTTTGAATAATAAAATATAAGTATTTCGGTTCTGTATTTCTGCTATTTTATTGTTTCTAAATTGTTCTCCAACACATACTGATACTAGAGCTAGCAAAATGTGAGGCTATTATGCATAGCTTATTAAAGGTGAGGCTATGCATAACTTATAAAACGTGAGGCTATGCATAACGTATAAAACGTGAGGCTATTGTGCATAGCTTATCTCGGTGTGATAAATGTAGGTGTGGTGTTGTAAGTGAACCAAAAAAGTGAGAAGTAGGCAAGCAACGAAGTGAGAAATGTAGGTGTGGTGTTGTAAGTGAACCAACCAAGTGAGAAGTAGGCAAGCAACGAAGTGAGAAATGTAGCTGTGGTGTTGCAAGTGAACCAACCAAGTGAGAAGTAGGCAACACCAACCAAGTGAGAAGTAGGCAAGCAACGAAGTGAGAAATGTAGGTGTGGTGTTGTAAGTGAACCAACCAAGTGAGAAGTAGGCAAGCAATGAAGTGAGAAGTGAGAAGTCTTGTAATCATTGTGAGTGGTTTAGAGTTTGTCTCAAATACCCAGCATACCTCCTTTAACACATTATGTGCATCAGAAGTGGGTTCAACTCTTCGGCACCAGTGCACCCTGCACAAGCCAGATGTGATGAGACCCTAAGAAAAATTAACAGTAACTAAGCTATCGTTATAATAACGTATAAACGTGGCCTGATACTATATTCTAGTTTCTACACGAGTAAATTTCTGCATGCTTTACGTAGTCCTCATGTGCCTTTGAACGAAAGCCTTTCCCATTTCCTTGTTCACAAGATTATTTGAAAACATTGTCACTGCACTCCATCTCTAATAACCTTCTTTGACTGGGCCTAAATAGCTCCGTTGACCGAGTCTAAATCAAAATACCCCTAAAAATACGCTGGAAAATTTAATAATATAAGATCTGTGAGGGTGTGACTAAAATTAATCATAGCGGGTGAGCTTGAACCCATCAATCACGTAATCAAGTGATGTTGAAACTGATTTGTACATTAGATGTGTTTGAAATGAAGGTTGCAACCAATACAGGGGGTTTCAACTTTATTCAGATGAAATAAAAAGAAACATGATGATTGATCGTGAAAGCTAAAATTTTACGTCCATTTTACTTCAGCGAGGAAGTCTTCGTTATCTTTACAAGAAGAACTTGCATGTCACATAAATATTCTCTTATGATAATGTTTTCTGGTTTCTTCTCACTAAATAAACTAAAAATTAAGAAAAATTAAAAAAATAACGTGCATGTTACAGGCGCGAGATTATTAATTAAGGAAATTAATAACTGAAAAAGGAAGCAATGTTTCTGTTACTTAAGGAGTGGTGGTCAACTAATTAATGTTTCTGTTACTTAAGGAATGGTGGTCAACTAATTAGTTTAATCTATGACAAAAAAAATTAATTAGTTTAATCCAATGAGATTATTAATTTCATTTAATATTAGTTACTAGAAACATATAAAACCAACCCACATGCTAGCCCATCAGTCAATACAAAGGAACAAAATTGTTCTACATTTCTAGCAATTATATTAAGCATGTTTGGGAATAGGATCCTATGCTGATCCTTTGTGAGGATCCTAAGGATCAGTATATCCTATCCGTTCATCAGTCATCCTGCAGCCAGAAGTCATTTTAAATTTCTTATTTAAAATTAAACACAAATAATACTTAACAAAAACTGGCCGCTCGATATACGATAAATGACTAAACGGATTGATCCTTAGGATCTTCACAAAAAAGACCTGGAGAGGATCCTTGTCCGTTTGTTTGTACTTAATTAGAATATACTACAGCTAGCAAAATGTGAGGCTATTATGCATAGCTTATTAAATTTGAGACTATGATACATAACTTACAAAATGTGAGGCTATTATGCATAGCTTGTGTCGGTGGAGTGCATGATAAATATAGGTGTGTTGTTGTAAGTGAACCAACCAAGTGAGAAGTGAGAGTGTTTTGTAGTGCTGTAATATATTGTGTGTGTAATACCACTAGGTGTTCATATAGTACTCTCTCTTCTTCCCACTTAAGCTCGAGAAAGTGCCAAAACAGTATACACACGAGTGAAATGCAGGAACATAATAAGGTAGCGATCATCGTCGGGGCCGGTCCTTCCGGCCTGGCCATGGCCGGATGTCTGAGCTGGCTCGCGATCCCATACATAATCCTAGAAAGGGAGGACTGTTTTGCCTCTCTATGGAAGAAATACTCCTACGACCGTCTCCACCTCCACCTTCAAAAACAATTTTGTGAGCTTCCTCACATGTCGTTTCCAACCTCTTGTCCCACTTACGTGCCCAAACGCCAGTTTATCCAGTACTTAGACGACTATGTGTCCCACTTCAGTATTAGTCCAATGTACAAGAGAAATGTGGAGTCTGCAGAATATGATCAAGTCTCCAAGAAATGGACTGTGAAGGCGAAAAATATTGGTGGTTCCGGCGAGATGGAGGAGTATTTTGGAGGGTTTTTGGTGGTGGCTACTGGGGAAGCAAGTAACCCGTATATTCCGGAGATTGAAGGTTTGAGTAGTTTTAATGGTGATATTCTTCACTCAACAAAATATAAATCCGGGAAGGAGTTCGAAAATAAGGAGGTTTTGGTTGTTGGGTCTGGGAATTCCGGCATGGAGATTTCACTAGACTTGGCGAACCATGGTGCTAAAACTTCAATCATCATTCGAAGCCCGGTAATCAAGCACATCGTCTAGCTTTGATTTTACTTAAAATTCTTTCATGTTTTCTGACGAGGCGTTGAAGGAGATATTCTATACTACTCTAGTATACGAGAATGGCACTTCTAGACTGCCTTGACTGATTAACCTAATGCACTTCCGCTTAAATTTGTTTCGTGTTTAAGACGATTTTGTTTGCATGAGCTAGCTTATATGATATCTAAATGCAGGTCCATGTACTCTCAAGGGGGATGGCTGGCTTGGCCTTGACTTTGTTGCAATATTTTCCATTAAGCATGGTTGATTCTTTGCTGGTTCTGCTTAGCAAGCTGGTCTACGGAAACCTAGCTAGCTATGGGATAAAGAGGCCACAAGAGGGTCCTTTTTATATGAAGATGAAGTACGGCAAGTATCCGGCCATTGACGTTGGTACCTGTGGAAAGATCAGATCCGGCGAGATTCAAGTTTTGCCGGCCGAAATAGGCAGCATAAGAGGCGGTCAGGTGGAACTGAAAAATGGAAAGGCATACCAATTTGACACAATTATTTTCTGTACTGGATTTAAGAGATCGACGAATTTGTGGCTTAAGGTAACTACTCAAACATCCTATGGTAACCATTTTGTTTTTAATTTTTAATTTTTATCGCCTAAGGTGATATAAAATTTGTTACGATTGTTTTAGGGGGATGATTATCTTTTAAATGCGGATGGGATTCCAAAACCAAGTTACCCTAATCATTGGAAGGGAAAGAATGGATTATATTGCGTGGGACTATCGAGAAGAGGATTATATGGATCTAAGGAGGATGCTCTAAACATAGCCAACGATATCAAGTCATTTCTATAACTTCCTAAAAGAAGAAGTCAAGGGCCAAATGCACGAGAAGTTACCTACACTTTTGGTACACTAGCTACCTAACATTCTAAGTCAATAAGGCGATGTCATGTTGGAATGTGTTGTATTGGTCTGAAATAAGACATTGGTGCAAGTTGGGTGTAGGTCTCCAAGTCCCACTTTTCCACTTGTCCTCTTTGTTTTGAGTTGTGAGTATTGAATAATTGTGATTTCATTTCTTTATGAATAAGATTATATTGTTGGTTTATATACAAACCATATAAAGCCTTGTACCTAACACCTCATCTAACTAACAGAAAGGAGCTCACCTAACTAACCAAAAATATCCAAAACAGATAAAGCAAATATATCAGCTCTAAGTTTTATCCTTTACAGTATTATCTCTAATATTCCTAGCGTTTTCTTCTTCCTTTAATACCCTCCAATATACTCAAACTTTAAAAATGGTGCATTATTTCCCTGAACTTTCCTATCCTTTTCTTCTTTCTTTAGTACCATCCAACATACTCAAAACTTTAAAAAAGGTGCATTATTCGCCTTTTGTAAAATACGAGCTCAAATTTGCGTGGCATGTACCGAATAATGGAGAACTGATTTAAACCCTTTGACTATTACACCACCTAGGAAACCTTTTTTTTTTTTTTTTCAACAAACGATATTATTTATACTAGACGGTAGAAGAGTGGACTAAATCTCACAATGGGCTAACAAAAATGTGGTTCGATTCACCAAAGCCTCTCAATTATAAATGAAGAAGAACATGACTAAACCGTAGTACTAAGTGGACACCTAATAACCTTCTTTGACTGGCCTAAATAGCTCCGTTGACTGAGTCTAAATCAAAAGACTCCTAAAAAACACTGGAAAGCTTAATAATATTAGACCCTGTGAGGGTGTGACTGAAATTAATCATAGCAGATGAGCTTTAACCCAGCAATCACGTAATCAAGTGGCGTTGAAACTGATTTGTACATCAGACGTGTTTGAAAGAAGGTTGCAACCAAAACCGGGGGTTTCATCTTTATTCAGATGAAATAAAAAGAAGCATGATGATTGATCTTGAAAGCTAAAATTTTACATACATTTTACTTCGTTGAGGATGTCTTCGTTATCTTTACAAGAAGAACTTGTATGTCACAGAATCCTCGTCCGTTTGTTTGTACTTGGAATATACTAGAGCTAGCAAAATGTGAGGCTATTGTGCATAGATCCTCATCCGTTTGTTTGTATTTGGAATATAGTAGAGCTAGCAAAATGTGAGGCTATTATGCATAGCTTATTAAAGGTAAGGCTATGCACAACTTTAAAAACGTGAGGCTATGCACAACTTAAAAAACGTGAGGCTATTATGCATAGCTTATGTCGGTGGAGTGCATGTTGTAAGTGAACCAACCAAGTGAGAAGTAGGCAAGCAACGAAGTGAGAAGTGCGAAGTGAGAAGTGAGAAGTGAGAAGTGAGTAGTCTTATAAGCATTGTGAGTGGTTTAGAGTTTGTCTTTAAAAAGTGGAAAAGTATCATAACTTTTCGATTGTGTCTTTGAGAGTTGTTGTGATGTAATATTTTGCATGTGCGTAATACAACCACTAAGTGTTCATATAATACTTTCTCTCAGGGTTGTCTCTAAGATTTCGGGGCCCTGCAAATCAATAAGCATGTCTTTAGATTGCAAATATTTGCTAACCTCATTAACAGCAACCATTATTTCATACCAAATAATCATGCCCAATAAAAACTCAAAATTCTCAATGTCATATGTTGCCAAAGATTTAGCTGCACTTCTTGTTACTAAGTCATTGTCACTTTCTGCTAATTGGAGTAGAGCTTTTTTTATTTGTAGAGGTTGAGATTGAATTGCTTTAACACTCGCAACACGGCTCTCCCATCGTGTGGTCGGCAATGATTTGAGAGTCAGTCCTTTTATATTCTTTCAGAATTAGCCATCGTTTGGTAGAATTTGCAAATAAGTTGTAAATACATTGTATTGTTCCAAAGAAGTCTTTCGCTTTGCCACAAGAGTTTGTCATATCACAAAGTGTTAAGTTAAGACTATGGCAACCACATGGAGTGTACATTGCCCTAGGATTTATATCCAGAAGCCTCTTTTGTACACCTTGGTGTCTCCCTTTCATATTTGATCTATTATCATAACCTTGTCCTCTCACATCATCAATATCAAGATCAAGAACTTTTAATACATTTTGCAACTCTTCAAATAGTCCTCATCTTGATGTGTTATTCACAATCATATATTGCAAAAAATATTCTTCTACTTTTACTGGAGTACTGTTCATATCCACACATCTTATGATCAAGGTCATATGTTCTTAGTGGCTAAAATTAGGAGTAAAATCAAGTATCACGGTAAAATATTTAGCTTCTTTGACTTTTTGTATTATTGCAGCTTTGATTTCACAAGGTAACAACAATATCAACTCATTCTGGATGGTATGACTAAGATAATGATAACGAATCTCATTATTTTGGAAGCGTCGAAGATGATTCTTTATCAGTGGATCAGATTCAGCCATCATTTGAACTAGGCCCATAAAATTTCGATTGCTTTCTTGATAAAGTTTATCGTTGTTTTCACAAAAAGCCAGTGTATATTTAGCTAGATATTTCACAATGGAGATCAACCGTCGTAGTAACTCCCTCCAATGCTCTTTTTCTTTCTTGATCTGGTCTTGCACAACTTTGTCAATTGTTTTGTTTTTCTGCAATCTAAGACGCAAATCAATCCAAGTGGTCATATTCGAGATATGATCAAAATTGTTTTCATGCTCTTTAAGCCTCGCATTGAGATGTGTCCAATCTTTGTAGCCCTCGTTTTGCTAATTGATCTTTGAAATGCCCTTTCTTGAACAATTTGCAACAAAAATAAAACAATTTATCAACATCACCAATCTCTATCATGTTTCTCTCCATTGGATAAGTATCAAGTATAAAAGGCTGCATTAAAACGCCTATTAAACTAATCTTTAGGACCTTTGTCAATTGATAGATCTCTTGCATGACCTTTTTCTGCCAACAAATCAATCCATTCGGGATCAAGACTATCCCAAATTTGAGGATCATAAATGTTTGAGGGAATGGACTCACTCGGTTGACCACTGACAATAGGAGCATCCTCATGATTATCATTCTCATCAAGGTCATCATCAATTTCATCATTGCCCAAATCATCATCTAATTTCTCATTGTCATCCTGTTGTTCCGTAATTAAATCATCCACTGAACTTTGTGGTTTTTTTCTTTCAGAAAGAACCTATCAATAGCTCCTTTTTGAGACTGAGTCAATTGTTCAATTTTTTTTTCTTTGACGCTTCAAGTAGCCAAATGGATAATTTTCTAGTAGGTATCATCTTTTATATCTCAAACAATATCACAATAAAATTATAGTAAGTATGAACAATGAAACCTAATAGTCCGCAATATGTGTGTGTCTAGTTATTTTTTGTGACTACTCTCCTCTTGATTTTGCCCTGAAAAAGTACAAAAGAAAAAAAAATTATTATAAATGAGAAATACCCAAATCTTCAAATTCCAAGTCAATATACTTAAATCAGTAAATATCTTATTTTAATCGAAGTCTACATCATTCTGATCAGTTGAATTGTCTTCATAATTCGAAAATTTCTCTTCAATTTCATGAACTTATAAATTAGGGTTTAATAATTTGTGGGAAAAAGAACAATGGGAAGAGAGAAGTAAAGTAGACTGCAGCGGCAATGATGGGAATTCTGACACCGGAGTCTGGAACTGTGGTGTGAATTGTGAAAGAAGAAAAGTGGGAGCAGCAATGGATTTAGGTGTGAGAGAAGAAAAGTAGGAAGCATCAGTAGTGATGGGACTCAGCGGCACTAATGGGAATCAACCATCAGATTTTTATATATATATTTCTTGATTGGATTAGTATTTTTATATAATATTATTTTGTATATTATTATATTCAATAAAAAATTATTTTTGGGGGCATGTATCTGTTGGCTTTTGGCCCCATCAGATATATATATTATGATTAATATTTTTATATAATATTATTTTATGTATTATTATATTGAATAAAAAATTATTTTTGGGGGCCCCCAAAATTTTGGGCCCATGTGCAATGGAACCGGTCACACCCCTTAAAACCCATAATTTTTTTTCTTTGTACTTTTCAGGGCAAAATCAAGAGGAAAGCAGTCACAAAAAATCACTAGACGCACACGTGTTATGGACTATCAGGTTTCATTGTTCATACTTACTATAATTTTATTGTGATATTGTTTGAGATATAAAAGATGGCACCTATTAGAAAATATCCATCTAGCTACTTAAAGCGTCAAAGAAAAAGAAAAATTGAACAATTGACTCAGTCTCAAAAATGAGCTATTGATAGGTTCTTTCTGAAAGAAAAAAGAACCACAAAGTTCAGTGGATGATTTAATTACGGAACAACAGGATGACAATGAGAAATTAGCTGATGATGAGGGCTACAAAGATTAGACACATCTCAATGTGAGGCTTAAAGAGCATGAAAACAGTTTTGATCACATCTCAAACACGACCACTTAGATTGATTTGCGTCTTAGATTGCAGAAAAACGAAACAATTGACAAAGTTGTACAAGACCAGATCAAGAAAGAAAAAGAGCATTGGAGGCAGTGGCGGATCCAGGATTTCAAGATCAGGGGATCCCAAGATAAAAGTTTAAAAAAAATATATTAGACTAGTTTGGTTCCATAGCACTATTTTTTATTGAATTTGGTTCATTGAATAATCAAAATTAATCAACCACATCAAGTGGCCAAGTGGTAAGGGCGCGGATTTCGACTCTTAAAATACAAAAAACAGGGAGGTCCTGGGTTCGAGGCTCCAAGCTAGTGAGTCTGCTTGACTGTGGCCATGAGAAAGCTGAAATGCCTCTGTGAGTCTTCTAGGCCCCTAGAACCGGTGGATAACCGTGGTTTATCACTAGTTGTCTTGCTTTAAAAATAATAATAATAATAATAATCAAGATTAATCTCAAAGGTAATAAAACCAACAAATTCTCCTCAGCAACATAACACATCAATCAATGACTTTACAAAGATGAAATTTGTTAATGTAACATATATATTACAATTGGGAGTTGAGACTAGAGTCTAGGATTAAAACAACTTAAATGAATTTGGAAGAAATAAAATTAGGCAGCTAGAGGTGGCGGAACGGCAAATGGTGCTGGGGGATGGGATAACTTGAGTTTAAAGTTGGGAGGTTAC